TTTTGGCCTCCACCTTGCTACTTGCATGCGAGATCTTAGTTCCCTGACCGGGATTTGAACCTGCATCCTCAGCAGTGAAAGTGCCCAATCCTGACCACTGGATCACCAGGGAATTCCCAGAAGATGCTGGCTTTGAAGATGGAGGCAAGGCCAAGGAATATGGGCAGCCTCCAGAGGCTGGAAAAGGCAAGGAAACAGGATTCTTCTCTGTAGCCTCCAAAACCTTGATTTTAGCCTTGTGAACTCATTTCAGATATCTTACCTCAAAAGGACTATAAGTTAATAAATTGGTATTGTTCTAAATTACTAGTGAAAAAAGTGAAAGTGTTACTTGCTCAGTCATGTCCGACTCTTTGCCATTCCATGGACTGTAGCCCACCAGGCTCCTCTGTCCATGGGATTCTCCAGGCAAGAATACTGGAGTGGGTTGCCATTTCCTTCTCCAGGGGTTCTTCCTAACCGAGGGATTGCACCTGGGTTTCCTGCATTGCAGGAAGTTTCTTTACCATCTGAGCCACCAAGGAAGCCCTCTTAACTACCAAGTTTGTAGTAATTTGTTACAGCAGCAATAGGAAACTATTATACATCCCCAGGGTTAAAAGGGGCCAATATCAATCTGAAGATAGCAAAACCAAAGAAATCCTCAAAGATTAAAAAAAAAAAAAAAAGTGGAGAGGATGGAAATAGAGCATTTAAGTACCAAATAAATGCCACCAAATACCAAATAAATGTGTAACTACCCTGAGTTCCCTGAGGGCAGGACCTGAGCTAAATGCAAATCTTTTACATCAGTGGTCCTCAACCTTTTTGGCTCCAGGGACCTGTTTTGTGGAAGACAATTTTTCCACGGGCCAAGGGGCAGAGTGGATGGTTCAGGATGATTCAAGTGCATTACCTTTGTTGTGCACTTTATTTCTTGGATTACTACACGAGCTCCACCTCAGATCGTCAGGCATTAGATCACAGAGGTCGGGGACCCCTGCTTTACAGTATCCAGTGTGTGTGAGGAGAACCGGAAGATGAACTTTCTCATTCTGTCTGTGGTCCTGGGCCCTGGTTTTGATCCCTGCTGTCATTTCTTAGCTCCCAGGAAACTAAGGCAGGAGGATGTGTGTTGAGTCGGGGGGTGGGGGGCCCTTGGAAATTTTTTCCTTGAGTAAACAGCAACTGATGTGACTTCCTAGAGACAGAGGTCAAGAAACACACATACATTCTTGCCTCGCGGCTTTGGTTCTTCCATTGGCGCCTCTGAAAACCAACCCAAGTATCCATCTTTCCGGGCAGGCAGTGCTGAAGAGACAGGTGGTCGTGTGTGTCCTTCAGTCAGTCCACCAGTCGCTCCATCAGTGAGGGGCTCTACTTGAGGGGGAAGCTGAAGTCTTACAGTGCAGGGCCCCCCAAGCCAGAGCTGATCAGTGAAGCTGTCCGTGAGTCCATGTGGCTTCGGATTGCTTTGCCCTGGATTCCTGAGATTCCAGATTTTGCAGTAGATTCAACTGCATTTCCTCACTACTTCCTGCCTTCCCCCTTTTCCTTTGTTTTCACCTTACAGGGCAACGTGGTCAAAGACAGTGAAGAGCTGAGACTGCCTGACTTTAGTCCTGGTTCCTGTTTAACCCCTAGCTGAGTGAACTCAGGCAAACCACTTGGCCTCTCTGTGCCCATTCCCTGTCGGTGAAATGGGGGTATTAAGAGTGCTTAAGAGTTGCAGAAGGATGACGTTAGTTAATACTTATGGGGTGCTTAGAAAAGCGCCTCATACGTGTTTGCTAAATACAGTAAAAACTGTGACTTCAGCAGGTAAAGAAGAGAATATTCCCAAGTAGCTGGGCTGGCAATAGAGATGAAAGGTTGAACTCTGTGGGTGATAAAACCTCTTCCAATCCTGAGTTTTTATGCTCCTGTGAGGATAATCAGCACTTCTTCAGATTCATACCCACGCGGTTCCCATTCTCATGTCTGGAAAGTTGCTCCTATGTGGTAAGAACCTAATACTTAAAGCTTCATGCCAAGAAGTCCTGATAAAATGTTTTTTATTTGTACTATAAATGTTAACTGGTTGAGCTTCCCTGGCAGTTCAGACAATAAAGAATCTGCCTGCAATGCAGGAGACCCAGGTTCGATCCCTGGGTCAGGAAGATTCCTGGAGAAGGAAATAGCAACCTACTCCAGTACTCTTGCCTGAAGAATCCCATGGACAGAGGAGCCTGATGGGCTACAGTCCATGGGTCTCACAGAGTCGGACACGACTGGGTGACTAGCACCTGTTAATGAGGAATTCTTTAATGAAACTTTTACCTGTTTTGGATATGGGTCAGAGGAATGGTGGGTATAAGCAGTTAGGAAATAATATTAACCAATGGAAAAATAAGGAGTTGCCTGAAAGGCAAAACTGATCATTCACTGAGAAATGAGATATCAGGATCCCAGTGTTAAGTGGGAGCCTCGTTACTAACTACCTGTGCAACTTCTTATAACCCCCTTATCTCTCTGCTTGTCTCTCATCTGTGAAATAACTGCAGCAGGTCTCTTTTGTATTTTCATTTATCTTTGGCTGCGCCGCGTCTTTGTTGCTGAGCGGGGGCTACTCTTTGTTGGGGCGCCAGGGCTTCTCCTTGCAAGGCTTCAGGAGCGGCACATGGGCCAACTGAGTGGTATATGGGCTCAGCTGCTCCGCAGCATGTGGGATCGTCCTGGATCACGGATTGAACCTGTGTCCCCTGTATTGGCAGTCGGATTCTTTAACCACTGGACCACCAGGGAAGTCCCCACAGCACATTTCTTGACCCATCGATGCAAATCGAAGCAAAACAAAATCGTTCAACTGCAACTGCGACAGGATAGAGTTGATAGAAAAGCCTGTCTTAGAGAACAGAACAAGAAATGGCTTACTTTATGTGAGGATAAAAACATTTTGAAATGACTTGGATGCCTTCATCCCAGGATGGAGTCAGGAAGGCAGCTGGGATGCCTCAGCGCCTCCTTCTCGAGTGGATTTATTCCATAAGGACCATGCTTCACACCCTGTGGGCGCAGTGAGCTCTGAGTGAACGCTGATACCTGCTGTGTGCAACATGGGTGAGTGGTAGTGCATTTCCTAGCAACTCAACAGTGTACAATAACTCCGATAAATTTTTAGATTAAATATCTGATACTGCGCAACAGTAAAGAATGTTAGCTTTACTTCTATTTTATGAGACACAGAAAGAACTCAAAAAATTACCTAGTGTGTTCTGCAGCTTGAGACAGCGCCACCTAGTGGATCAGACACTGGGTGGGGGGTAATGTGCTGATGCCGTCTTTGTCAGGATACAACTTTAAGAGGACATGCTGTGGTCCATGGGGTCACAAAGAATCCGACACGACTGAGCGACTGAACTGAACTGAAATAACCTGTTTTCTTACACAGAAGCCCTGACTTGCTCTCCTCCCATCTCTCAAACAGTGGGATCACCAGTTTCTTTGCCACAGGATTCCCTCTGGGTAGCACAACCTGTGCTGAGGCCATTGATCAAAGAACAACAAATGGGGACACTGAGATGATTTCTGTTTGTATTGAAGGGACGCCCTCTAAGCTCTAAGCTCTGTCTCCAGGAAGGCTCTGAGCACAAGGGGGGCCATGTTAACCACTGATTATTGCAGGTCCCCCTCCCCCCCATAGAGCTTACCGAAACTCATTTTGTGATTTTGTGCCCTCTCAGCCTTCTATTTCTGATCCCAATCCTGTGGGTTTTCTTTCTTTTTTCTCTTTAAGGGTTGGACATGACTGCTTTGAGCATAAAGATATAAAGTGATCCATCATTCACTTCACCACTGCCGGTAGTTATGGGATCTACAGAAGGCAGGCTGAGTTAAAACACCCTTTGTACAAAAGTATATTTTTGCCCTTAACACACAAGCTTGTCATTTACATTTGTGGAGGTGGTGGGGGGGAAGACTGTGCACTACAGACATATAGCATGTACTCTATCAAAGTTCTTTTTCCAACTTGTTTTCTGGTTCTTAATTTTCATCCAGAAGGTCCTTCAAATAGTTCTCGGGTGCCAGGTTGAGACTCCCAAAGTGGAAACAGCCTAGAGCTGCCCGCCCCCACCCCCCGTTTAATGACAGATTTCACTTGGTCTGGGAACTTAAGTATAAAGTTATATCTAAGCCTGGGGATAGACATTCCTCATCAGCTTTGGAGAAAGAGCTACAAAGATGAAAGAGATGACAATAACCCAACATGGACACTTACAGTAACTAAATAAAGGAACAAAGACCTCCAAATACTGGAAGAAGAAGAATCCAGAGAGAGCCGCTGGACACACAACTGATGTTTCTAAACTCTGCCTCTAATCCCCCCACGAACCTGAACTATAGAAATGCTAGATTCAGGAAGCTGTGCCCAGGAGATCAAGGTGAAATCAGTCCTCTGGCTGCTGTTGACTGCTTTCTCGAGGCAGCAGGAAGTGATACCAAGGCCTTTGTGGAGCCCCGTGGTGTGATATGCAGAGTGCTGCATAGCTGGCATCTGATAATATGTCTCCAAGTCACCACATTAAAATAATCTTTTGAACTTTGAGGGCCTTTCTTTCCCAAATGATCTTGACCTTGAGATTAAGTATTTCACATATTATCAAAAAGGACCAAGTTCTTCCATCTGTTGGACAGCAGAAGCTAAAGTACCCTTTTTCTCAAAATTCACTTACAGATGTCTTGATCAAAAACCTACGCAGATCACTGTTGCTATTTCCTTTTCAAAAGAGGTGGAAAACCTGAAGCACGGGTGCTGAGAAGATGGCGATATCCCCCTTAAGCTGGTGAGAATCTCTCCTCGGGGGCAATTCTGCAATCCTGTTTCTGGAAGCCAGGACTCAACGGATTTGTCTTTGTGATGAAGAGATGATCCTCTGATCTTAAAGCAGGAAGGCTGTCAACATAAAGCTCTGAACAATTTCTGCTCACCAATGACATCAAAGCGAGGAGGAGAACAAGGTCTTGGTTTTCCCGAAGGTGGCTCAGGAAGACCGCAGTGGTTTGGCATAGATTGGCTCCAGGATGTGATGGATTAGAACCAAGAAAAGGCTTCCAAGGAAGACAGCAGTGAGGAAAGCCAGCAGGACATAGCGGCCAATGAAAAAGGCATCTATAATCTGGAGAAAGAAACATTAAAAGTGAAATTACTGTCACATCTGCACCTTGATTGTGCTCAACTGGAATCTCTGATGAGTAGGCCCAGGGTGTGTCCATATTCATAACTTCCAGTAACATCCTGCAAATGGATAAGAAAGAACCTTTTTCTCAACATGCTGAGCCAGAAATATAAGATAAAGAGAAGCTTAATGAAGAGGCTTAATAAAGTACAGGGAACAAACATAGGCTTGGTATAGGAGATGCATAAACCCTCTGAAGGCAGGTTCTTTCCTTTTCTGAAATGAGTTATCTGAAAGAATGAATGAGAACCTTGCTTGCGTGGTCTCAGAAAGGCTTATTTTGTGGCTGTCAACTTTTCATTATGGAGAACTTTAAACACGTATTAGTATAATAATCCCCCACATACTCAAGATTCAAACCCCCACGCCATCAACCCATGGCCAACTCAGGAGGGGTCATTTTCAAAATGAAAAGGGCACTCTCAACCTTTCACCAGAGGAGTTCTGAACCCTCACATTCATAACCCAGCCTTCCAAGGGCTGGGGAAACGGCCATTTACCTGCGGTCCTGAAACACTAAGAGGAAAGGAAACTTGTCCCAGTTTGTACCGTTGGCTGCCTGGCAGCCAGTCGTACTTGAGGCCCAGAGCTGCCGGTCTTGGCTGACAGAAGCCTGTCATTCGTATTGGCTCTACCCACTTGTCTACCGTTCACTGCTGGAACTCTGCTTTCCACAGATCCAAAGGGTGCTGCCTAAGTTTGGGCAGGAAAAAGCAGTTTAATCTACAGACTTCCTAGAGCAGGAACACAAACCAAGTGACCGGGGACACTGCGACTTCCCGAAGCTTTCAGAACCTAGTACCTGAAGAGATCCCCAGATACCTGCAGGGTAGTGGTTGATAGGATAATGGCTCTACAAGGTCCACATCCTGATCTCCAGAAACTCTGAATGTGTTAAACTGCATGACAAAGGAGAATTAAGGTTGTAGATGGAATTACCATTGTTAATCCATTGACCTTAAATAGGCAGACTGTCCATTCTCTATGTCCATACCTCTGTGTCTCTATTCCTGCCCTGCAAATAGGTTCATCTGTACCATTTTTCTAGATTTCACATATATGCGTTAGTAGACGATATCTGTTTTTCTCTTTCTGACTCAGTTCACTCTGCATGACAGACTCTGGGTCCATCCTTAGTCTCTACAAATGCCTCAACTTTGTTCCTTTTTAGGGGTAATGATATTTCATTGTATTTATGTTCTTGGGGGAAGTGAAGAGTAGGACAAATTGGGAGGTTGGGATTGACATATATACACCACCATGTGTAAAACAGACAGCTAGTGGGAAGCTGCTCAGTCACACAGGGAGTTCAGCTTGGTGCTCTGTGATGACCCAGAGGGGTGGGATGGGGGTGCGGGGGGGAATATATGTGTACATATGGCTGATTCACTTCATTCCACAGTGGAATCTAACACATCATGAAGTAACTATACTCCAATAAAGAAATAAGGAGGCTGGCCTGAACTGTTTAATACAGGTGGCCCAATGTAATCACAGGGCTCCTCAGAAGAGGTTGAGGGAGGCAGGAGAGAGGGTCAGAGACACAGAGATGTGAGGATGGAGGCAGACACAGAGAGATGCTATTTTGCCATCTCTGAAGACGGAGCAAGGGGTCCACAAGCCGAAGGGTGGCCCCAGGAAGCGGAAAAGGCAAGGAAATATTTCTCCCCAGAACCTCCAGAAAGGAACACAGCCCTGCCAACCTCTTGATTTTAGCCCAACAAGGCTGATTTTGGGATTCTAGCCTGTGGAACTCTAAGATAGTAAATGTGTGTTGTAAGCCACTGATTTTACGGTAATTTGTTACAGCAGCAGTGGGTAACTAATACAGCAGAGATGCACAAAGCACTTGTCAAGTCCAAGCTCTGCTGTGATCACTGAGATCCAAGGACACCAGGGGAGAGGGCTGCTCCAGAGATTACTCCAACAGCCAACTTACAACAAAGGTCGGGTGGATGAAACGGCTCTGACATGACTTTGACCTTGGCTCCAGGACTGAACAAGTCTCTCGTGGGCTACATGTTTGCTTGTTCGACACGGTTCACTTTTTAATTAGCCAATTAGCAGGCCTTGGGTGCGGGAGGCCCAGGCCATGTATTATTGATACAGTATTGAGCCGGACCGCTTACAGGGGCTGGGACTCCAAACCTGAAAATGAGAACTCCAATCTCTGATGGCCGCACTGATGAACAGATTTTGCTCAAAAGGCTGATCTGCTCTCCTGGTCTGAAACCAACTCACATGACGGAGGGAAGAGGGAAGACGGATTGATTTCACGACAGTTTGCTCTGTGCCCTTCTTCCAATGTTCACATCCCCAGTGATTCAGAAATACCCAAACTTCATCACTTTCCCCATTTAAGACAGGAGAACTGGACACCGTATTGACATGGTCAGAGTGGTTGTCAGATGCTGACTGAAAAACCCAGCATGTATGAAAACAGTGCCTTAGTTTTGTGTGGCTAAGTATTATTTCCCTTGGAATTTTCAGAATGAGTTTCCTCCCTTTTGCCATGGACAGCCCTACATGGTACTAGAAAGGGGTGCCGAGTCTAGTTCAGAAGTTATAATATTGTTTTGTGTACTGTTACCCGGCGTCAAAACAGTTGCCTTTAAACTCTTGGCAATGGCCCCTGATATTCTGCTGAGTCCCCAGTATGAAGACTTCAGCTTGAATCCTTGCTCAGCCTCTTTCTGTGTATGTATGACCTTCGGTAAGTTACCCTAACCCCTCCCAGCCTTAGCATCCTGACCTGTGAAATGGGACACTGACAGTACCTGTGTCATGCTACTTAGGGTTGTCCTGAGGTTTGAATGACAGCATGTAAATAACATGCTTAGCACAGGACTGTGCACATAGTGATGCCTTAAACAGTGTTAGCTATTATCGCCATTACTGCTTTTTTGTTTACTTTTTTTTTTTTTTGGTGATGTGGAGCATTTTTAAAGTCTTTATTGAATTTGTTACAACATTGTTTTGATTTTTTTGGCCATGAGGCATGTCAGGTCTTAGTTACCTGACCAGGGGGATTGGACTCATATTTCTTGCATTGGAAGGTGAAGTCTTAACCACTGGACCTCCAAGGAAGTGCCACCATTACATCTTAAAAAAAATTAAAATAGCAGAAAGAAGTTGCTAGAAGGAGTAATGGGCCACAGGATGTCAAGATTGTAGAGATTATCAAGACTGTAGAGACCTGAGACCAGCCACGCATGGTAAAGGCAGAGCCCCGGTCAGGAGGGAACCAGGATGGGTGGGGTCTATGAGGCAGATGATAAAACTTCATTTAGACAGGTAGGTGCTGGGAGATCCGGTCCTGGAAATGAGGATGGAAGGAACTCCCCGAAGGCTGTTAGTGTGAAGTGCGTCTGTTGCTACATTGCCCACCCTCCACAGCAGAGTTCCTCCCTCCCCTCTGCTCTTCTCGATGGAGAATACTCCCTCGCACCACCAGTGGGAAAATCCAAACACATGATGAAAAAGCATGTCGATTAGCACCTGAGGGCACTGCCTAAGTGTCGCCTGGGATCTGAGTCTCCGAGCCAAGGCGACCAGGAGTGGGAGCCTGCCTGCTCGTCTCTGGCCCTGCGGTGTGAGGCGGCTTCCTGACACACCACTCGCTCAGAAGCCAAATCCAGGCAAATAGCTGCCTGGAGTTGCCAGCGGGCACTGGAAGAAGCGGGAGGAAGTTTAAAACCCACCCTGAGCCGCCCCCACACCCCATCCTGGTTTCAACTTTACAATTTTTTGAACACACTTCAGCCTTCCTGGCACTGGGGACCACGCGGGGCAGGGCAGAGGTCTAGACCAGGAGAAAGAGGACTGACAACTCAGAAGGCAAAACAAAACCCAGGTTTTTACCTTCATCTCTGCCTCGGGGGCTGGGACTTCACTGGCTCGAGGGAAGAGCAACAGAATGGTTGTGATGATCAGAGCACCGAGGAACGCGAAAATGACAGAGAACCTGTGGCCCAAAGACAGGGGGTTACAAGCACGGTTTAGTGTTCTCTCCAATCTGCTAGGCTGGGCCTGGCTTTTCCCTGGGGCCCACATTCTGTCTCAGCCCAGCACACAGGGCCCAGTGTGCTGCCCCAGCGCCACGGGAATTCAGAAACGTTTTCCCCTTCCTCCCAAAGCCCTTCTTCCCAGACAGGTACTAGCGGGATGCATTCCTGTTATTCCTGGGAATTCCAAGTTCCTAAGAATGGGAATTGGTGGGGTTTTTAAAAATTATTTTTAATTGGAGGATAATTTCTTTATAATGCTGTGTTGGTTTCTAACATACAACAAGGTGAATCAACTCTATGTACACATACATCCCCTCACTCTTGAGCCTCCCACCCATCCCCATCTCACCCCTCTAGGTCATTACAGAGCACGGAGCTGGGCTCCCTGTGTTATTCAGCAGGTTCCCACTGGTCAGTTCTACACATAGTAGTGTATATATGTCAATCGTACTCTGTCAGGAATAGGTAGTTTTTATTTTGACCTCTGTGTGGTCAGAGGAAAACCCGAAGTGGTCCCTCCCTGATCTCCCACTGCTGTGTTTGAAACCAGAAAACTTGAGTGAATGATGTAACTCGTTTTGTACCTACACAATCTGGCCAGGGAGTATGAGTCTACAGTGTCCTTAGGGTCAGTTTATGCCCTGATTCTTTAAGTCAACACCAGCCCAAGTCATCCACAACCCTTCAGCTTCCCGGGGCCCTGGTCTGGAGCCTCAGGGGCTGGATCCAGCACCTGCCATCAATCTCAACAATTAGGAAACATGCACATGTGTGACCCCAAGAAACTCAAGCGGCAGCGAAAGCAGATTCTCTTTTCATCTCCTATGTCCTCATCTCCTGTATGCTGAGAGCTGACATGTACCCCCTCCCTTCTCCTCCCACCTCTGCTTCCGAGTATAAATAATACAGTCAGTGCTTATGATAAAGAGGTTAAAATGCAACTCCTTCCAACTGCCGGTAATGACAATGAGCTTCTGAATTCTAAATGTTTCATGAGCGTCAGCGATTTCGCATCTAATTGCTTTTACCTCGGCCTCCCGGCTGGAGAGAAAGCCTTACCTAGCTACCCCCGAGGCTCTGGACAGCAGGACACACAGCACCAGCACGGACACCCAGAGCAGGGCAAGGAGGAACACGCCGGCCCCCACGCCGAGCACCGTGCCAGCCATGCGGGGGCTGCAGCTGAGCGCCGGGCACCGTGCGATGAGCGGGTCCTGGTGTTATGGTACTGCTGGGCTTCTGGGTGCTCCTGGGTCTCCTAGGGGGTCAGACACAGAAAGTCTGAATTCACTCTGGGAAACTTCTGATGACTGGTGTGGGAGGAGGATTCATCAATACAGGTCTTAATAGGTCTCTCTCAGAAACTGACAGATCAAGCAGCTAAGAATAAACCCCTGACATAGGATATACAAATGGCCAATATATACGTGAAAAGTGCTCAAGTTCATTAGTCATTCAGTTCAGTTCATTTGCTCAGTTGTGTCCGACTCTGTGACTCCATGAACCGCAGCACGCCACGCCTCCCTGTCCATCACCAACTCCCGGAGCCTACCCAATCTCATGTCCATTGAGTCAGTGATGCCATCCAAACATATCATCCTTTGTCGTCCCCTTCTCCTCCTGCCCTCAATCTTTCCCAGCATCAAGGTCTTTTCAAATGAGTAAGCTCTTGGCATCAAGCTTCAACATCAGTCCTTTCAATGAACACCCAGGACTGATCTCCTTTAGGAAGGACTAATTGGATCTCCTTGCAGTCCAAGGGACTCTCAAGAGTCTTCTCCAACATCACAGTTCAAAAGCATCAATTCTTCGGCACTTAGCTTTCTTTATAGCCCAACTCTCACATCCATACATGACTACTGAAAAACCATAGCCTTGACTAGACAGACCTCTGTTGGCAAAGTAATGTCTCTGCTTTAATAAGCTGTCTAGGTTGGTCTAGGTTGGTCATAACTTTCCTGCCAAGAAGTAAGCATCTTTTAATTTCATGGCTGCAATCACCATCTACAGTGATCTTGGAGCTCAAGAAAATAAAGTCAGCCACCATTTCCACTGTTTCCCCATCTATTTGCCATGAAGTGATGGGACAAGATGCCATGATCTTAGTTTTCTGAATGTTGAGGTTTAAGTCAATTTTTTCACTCTCCTCTTTCACTTTCATCAAGAAGCTCTTTAGATCTTCTTCATTTTCTGCCATAAGGGTGGTATCATCTGCATCAGTTCAGTTCAGTTCAGTCGCTCAGTTGTGTCCGACTCTTTGCGACCCCATGAATCACATCACGCCAGGCCTCCCTGTCCATCACCAACTCCCGGAGTTTACTCAAACTCATGTCCGTTGAGTTGGTGATGCCATCCAGCCATCTCATCCTCTGTTGTCCCCTTTTCCTCCCTCCCCCAATTCCTCCCAGCATCAGTATTTTCCAATGAGTCAACTCTTCGCATGAGGTGGCCAAAGTACTGGAGTTTCAGCTTCAGCATCAGTCCTTCCAGTGAACACCCAGGACTGATCTCCTTTAGGATGGACTGGCTGGATCTCCTTGCAGTCCAAGGGGCTCTCAAGAGTCCCTTTTCCAACACCACAGTTCAAAACCATCAATTCTTCGGCACTCAGCTTTCTTCACAGTCCAACTCTCACATCCATACATGACCACTGGAAAAACCATAGCCTATCTGAGGTTATTGATATTTCTCCTAGCAATCTTGATTCCAGCTTGTGTTTCATCCAGCCCGGCATTTCTCATGATGTACTCTGCATATAAGTTAAATAAGCAGGGTGACAATAAACAGCCTTGACGTACTCCTTTTCCTATCTGGAACCAGTCTGTTGTTCCATGTACAGTTCTAACTGTTGCTTCCTGACCTGCATACAGGTTTCAAGAGGCAGGTCAGGTGGTCTGGTATTCCCATCTCCTTCATTAGGAAATTGCAAGTAAAATACAGTACCTCTAGACACCTACCAGAATGGCTAAAAGGAAAATGATGGACAACTCCAAGTGTTGACAAAAATGTGGAGTACTGGAAGCCTTGCACTCTGCTGGTGAGAGTGTAAGTTGTTATTAGCACTTTGGAGACTCTGGCTTTATCTAATAAAGCTAAATATGTTAACCCTAGATCCAGCTGTTCTCTTCCTGGGTGTGTCCCCAACAGACATGTCATAAGTTCATTAAAAGATGCACAAAAGTTCAGGGCAGACCTATTAGAAATAGTCACAAACTGAAATGCCCTAATATACATCAATTGAATAGATAAGGTGAGCTTTCTAGGTGGCACTAGTGTTAAAGAATCTTCTTGCTTTTGCAGGAGATGCAGAAGACCCAGGTTCAATCCCTGGGTAGGGAAGATCCCCTGGAGGAGCAAATTGCAACCCACTCCAGTATTCTTGCCTGGAAAATTCCATGGACAGAGGAGCCTTGTGGGCTATAGTCCTTAGGATTGCAAAGAGTTGGTATTATAGATACAATTTATTCATTCATACAATGGAAGAGTAAAAAGAAGCAAGAATGAACAGACTACAACTATACCCAGCAATGTGGGTAAGTTTTGCAAATATTAAGTGTAAAAAGCTAGAGGCAAAAGAGTTCACACTGTGTAGTAACATGTGTATAATGTTCAAAAACAGCTCAAACTAATTTGGGGGTTAGAAGTCAGGAGTGTGGTTGCCTTGTAGAAAGAAGTGACTAAAGGGGCTTCTGGGGTGCTTATGAAATTTTGTTTCTTCAGCTGGGTGTGGGTTACACAGCTTTGTTAATTCTGTTAAACTGTATCTAGCTGTACACTTCTGATTTGCATATTTCTCATTATGTGTCTTACACTTTTACTTTTACAAAAAAGTTTACTTCAAAGAAAGTCTGAAGAGACATACCAGACAAATGTAATATATGGGCCTTGTTTGGTTCCTGACTCAAACAAACCCGCTATCCAAAACCTTTTATGAGATGACTGGAGAAATTTGAACAGTATCTGGGTATTTGATGATGTTAGAGAATCACTGTTTATTTTTTAAGTGAAAAATAATGTTTTTTTTTTTAATGTGATGATGTGGTTATATTACTAAAAGATTACTTTTAATATACAAATACACAAACACACACAACACAAATAACAGAAAATGATGTCTAGGAATTTTATAATCATCTAGGACAGAGGAGAAAGGGGTCAATATAAAACAAGGCTAGTCATGAATTCACTGTTAAAGCTGGAGTGGTGAATATATGAATTTTCCTATACTATGTTCTATACTTTTGAATATATTTGCAACTTTTGCAATAAAAGGGTTGTGTGAATGAATAAGTATATATGGGTAAGTAGGAATAAATCCAACAAAAGATGTGAAGATTTTTATGGCAAAAGTATAAAACTTTATTCAAAGATATATATATATATATATTTTTTTAAAGGCCTGAATAGAGAAATAACCCATGTTCCTGAGTGGATGGGATGGTTTAATATTCAAAGAACTCAATTTTCCTTAAATTATCAGCTCAATGCAATTCTAACCAAAATCTCAAAATAGTTTTTTGTGGAACTTGAAAACCAATCCTAAATTCAGATGCAAGAGCAAAAGCCCAAGAATAGCGAAAACAATTTTGGGAACTAGGATGGAAAACTTGCCTTTCATGTTACCAACTGCTGCAAGACACATTATAGAACCACGGTAATTAAAACAGTGTGATAGTGGCATGAAGACACATGGGCCAGTGGAACAAAACATAAAGCCCAGAAGCAGAGCCACGCATTTAGAAGAACTTTGCACAGGACAGAGTTGGCTTTATAGTCAACGGGTAGAGGATTTCATAAGACAGTGTTGGGATAAGTGATTATCCAATCAGAAAATAATAAAACCAGATCTCCGCTTTATATCATACGCAGAAGCCAATTTTAAATGGAAAGTTACTCGTAATAAAACAGCATATGTTTAAATATACAAACGTTCAGGCTGACTACACTAGAATACATAATGAAGGACCACACTCAGATGCTCACACCTAAACTTAGAATCGGCATGAACGCAAAAGCTACAAATGCAGGCTGATGCAGGTGTGTTTTACGGCAACTCAAATACCACGGGCTGGGCTGCCTTCAGTTGCGGGGTTTTCTACAGTGATGAACGACTGTTAAGAGTTCCAAACTACAAATAAGTATAATTTCCCCCTGATTTACATTAGAGTTGCATTCCTGGAAATTTTACTATGTTCAACTGTGCCAAAAGATACATATGCTTATACAAAAAATGGAGTTAGATTCTGGGTTCATATTAGAAATGAGTATCCTGTGAGACACTTGGGATGTTGTGCAGGATGAAAGACAATTCTTCACGGTGAGGGGCTGTCCAGTGTATCACAGGACTTCCAGTAGCCCCAGTCCTGCTCTGTAAACCCCAGGAGTGCCTCCAAAATTACACTAATAAACCAAAGGTGCCCTCACAAACTCCAAAATGACTAAAGGGGCAATGCCACCCCTTAAAGAACTAGGTGGAGGTTTAGTCGCTACGTCAAATTTGACTCTTGCAATCCCATGGACTGTAGCCTGCCAGGCTCCTCTGTCCGTGGGATTCCCTAGGCAAGAACTGGAGTGGATTGCCATTTCCTTCTTCAGGGGATCCTCCCGACCCAGGGATCGAACCCGGGTCTCCTGCATTACAGGCAGAGTCTTTTCCAACTGAGCTATAAGGGAAGCCCAAGCCTAGATAAATAAACTCTGGCATAAAGAGATGTGAACAAGGGTGTTCATGATAGCAAAACATCTGAGAAAATCTAAATGTCCATTAGTAAGGGGTTGAGTATTATATACTCATGACTACTTAAAACGAATGAACTTGAGCTAGCTGTACTGACATGAATGTATCTACTGGGTTGGCCAAAAAGTGTGTTCCATAATACCTTACGGAAAAACCCAAATGATCTTTTTGGTCAACCCAATAAAAAACAATAGAGTCTAAAAGCAAGTTGCAGAATGAGGCCCACAGTACTATACTATTTGTATCTTTAAAATGAAAAAAATACCTAAATCATTATATATTTATGAGATACACATATACAGTAAACATAAAAGCATGGGCATAAGTGGTGCAAAACAATTTCAGGAGATTGTATGTCTCTGGGGAGGGAAAAAGGAAGGAGAATGGGGCCAGGAAAGAGAACAAAGGGATCTGAACTAAATCTGTGATGGT